GTTTTGTTTATTAGTTCACTACGAATTACAACTGCGTAGATATGTTTGTGGTTACTAATGTGCCCAATTTACCACTGGCAAAGTCAAATTTAGCTAAACACTCATTCAATAACTACAATAAATGAAGTTTGTTTTTGCTTTAAGGTAGATATTTGTGGCCTGGGTACGGTGGCTCACTCCTGTAATCCCAGCACTTTGGGAGGCCAAGGTGGGTAGATCAACTGAGGTCAGGAATTCAAGACCAGACTGACCAACACGGTGAAACCCCATCTCTACTAAAAATACAAAATTAGCCGGGCGTGGTGGCGCACGCCTATAACCCTAGCTCTCAGGAGGCTGAGGCAGGAGAACCGCTTGAACCCGGGAGGCAGATGTTGCGCCACAGCACTCCAGCCTGGGCAACAGGAGTAAAACTCCATCTCAAAAAAAAAAAGGTAGACATTTGTGGCCTGGAACTGTAAGACTTAATCCAACCTCCTATCAAGTTTTTATCCTGGGCATTATAGTCCTAAATTTGTCTTTAAAAGTAGTTACAAGTGAGTTCAGGGTTTCTTTTGAGGGCGATGAAAATGTTCTACAATTGATTGTGGTGATGGTTGTACAACTCTGTGAAAATATCAAAAACCACTGAATTGCACATCATAAATGGGTGAACTCTGTGGTATATTTCAATAAAAGGGTTTTTTTTTTAAGTAGTTACAAGTTGTTCCCTTGCTCAAGGATGTTTCCACTGATAAGCCTCTTCTCCAAACGTTGAAGGCTTAAAGTAGCCAAAGATACCACAAGTAGGGAAAGATTTCGTGACACCAAAGAAATAGGGAAAACCCAGAGAGGGTTAGGTCTAAGTTAATCAAACTCCAAATTAGGGAGAATGATACGCTGGAAAGGGAGTAAATGAGCTCCATATCATTAACACTTCTACCATACAAAGTGTGTAAGTTCCTCCCTCTTCTCTAGGAGTGGAACCAATAGGCTCACTCAATAAAAGATGCTGACTGTGGCCGGGCGCGGTGGCTCACGCCTGTAATCCCAGCACTTTGGGAGGCCAAGGCGGGTGGATCACGAGGTCAGGAGATGGGGACCATCCTGGCTAACACGGTGAAACCCTGTCTCTACTAATACAAAAAATCAGCCGGGCGTAGTGGCGGCTGCCTGTAGTCCCAGCTCCTCGGGAGGCTGAGGCAGGAGAATGGCGTGAACCCGGGAGGCGGAGCTTGCAGTGAGACGAGATAGCGCCACTGCACTCCAGCCTATGCCACAGAGCAAGACCCCGTTTCAAAAAACAAAAAAAAAGATGCTGACTGTATTAAAACATTTAAGGGCAGTTTTACACTTGGCTATAAAGATGAAGGAATCAAACTAGTAACCACAAGGAGTTAAAGCTGAAAAAAATTTTGTCTCTTGTGCCCTTGGGTTTGATTTAAACCTTCTCTGGACACAAAGAAGAAATTTGTGGAATCTAGGCCGGGCACGGTGACTCACACCTGTAATCCCAGCACTTTGGGAGACCAAGGCGGGTGGATCACCTGAGGTCAGGAGTTCAAGACCAGCCTGACTAACATGGAGAAACCCTGTCTCTACAAAACATACAAAATTAGCTGGGCGTGGTGGTACATGCCTGTAATCCCAGCTACTCACGAAGGCTGAGGCAAGAGAATCACCTGAACCCGGGAGGGAAAAGTTACAGTGAGCCGAGATCGCACCATTGCACATCAGGCCTGGGCAACAAGAGCAAAACTCCGTCTCAAAAAAACGAAAAAGAAAAAGAAAAGAAACTTGTGGAATCTATCTATGGCCAAATGTGAGACATGACATCTGAAAGCAAGAAAATAAGTTACTAAAGCCATAACTATATTCCTATCAAAATTTGGAAGACAAAAAAGTATTTACTGAACAGCCAACTATTTTTCTGCCTAATAGTTACACCCTTAAAATTATTAATCTCCAAATACCACAAAGTGATATGGAAAAATATGATTTATCCTTAAACAGACATCTAAGTACAGTATCAAGGAGGAAATTAAAATTTGCATTTTAAAGGTGACAAAACCAGAAACCGTATTAATTGTAAATTTAAGGTCTTGGCCCAGAAAACAAACCTGGTTATCCTATGTAGTTAATATAATTTGAAACAAAGGTGTCTGTTAAACTTCAAACTCAGCATTGAAGTATAATCTTCTTGACTTAATTACGTTTTCTCACATTTATCTTAGCATATTTTCAAATTTCTGAGAACCCCTAAGCTGCCATATACAAAATAATATAAGCACTCTAAGGTTTTCAGAAGCCAAGCAGTTTTGGGAGTCTCACTGAGAAAGCAGCTATAAACTGAAGCTATATTAAGTACCATTGGTAAAGATACAAAGGTAAGAACAAAAGGAGACAGAAATGTTTTATACTTCTCCTTACCTTCTAACAAGTAAAATATCAATAGTCCCAGTTCCCCTTCTAATATAACCATTTGTGCTCCAAAAACTCAGTGAACAAAAATCATCCAGAAATACAGACATTACATATATGATGACCATGGAAAATATTTCACACCTCTTGAAGTGTTTTTTTGTTGCTACATATCAACTATATGAAACCACTTGTTCACAGTTAGCTTTCCTAAAAACAAAACAGTTTCTAAAACAAAGACTGTTTACATCTCTTAAGAAGCCTTTGTTCCAACAAGACCCCTCTTCAAGAGCTACAACTTCTGGAAAGATTTCCCTTTTTGTGGTTATATCAACAACAAATACTCTCAAACTCTTTCCATTTGGCATAGGAGTTTGTTAAACAAAGGAGGAAGCAAGCCCCCTCCACACAAAGGAGGTCTCCAAAACAGCACTGGTTGTATTTGTAGATTATTGGTGCCTCTTTAACCCCTTTCCTCAGGCTGTACTATGTAGTACTCTCAATACAAAATGGTGGCCATCATGTCTGTCTGACATTCAGAGGGGGGAAAAGGCAATTCGATCACACATTTTGCAAAGATTACCATTAATATTCTAGCCAAGATGAGGAAATGGGTAGCCAAGCCTAACCAGAGCAACACTATCTTTTCAGGAAAAGGGCCCTCTAAAAGGCAAAGAACAAGAAAGCAAGATAAAGGATTTACCCCAGCCCTGGTATACCACAATACCAACATGGAGGACACCTCCCAGGAATCTGACTCCCCACATTTTGGTTACTAACAACTTAGTCAAGTTACCCAATTTCTGAATAAAATCCCATTAATGCAAATGTGCGATATTCATATTCACCCCTTCTAGCATGTGACATAAAGCCACATTACTACAGTGTGAAACATGACCTATTATTCAAGAATTAAAACCTTGGCTCTAACCAGCCCTGTTATAACTTCTGCAGGCCTCTTTGCACTAAGAGAAACGTACTTCCCTGAAGCAGCAAGAATCAACCTTGCCCACTTCGCTGTAAGAAATGGATCTATTTTCAAACATTTCCCTCATATTCGCTGGCTAGTTATTTTCTGAAGCATATAGTTCATCTCCCTTTTCAAACTTGCTTAAGAAAAACTAAAGTAGGTGTCCATGTTTTAATTTGGGGCGGGGAAGAGTTAGGATAAGAAGCCTTATTTTCAGGGATCTCCCTGAAAACAGCTTTCCAAAACATAATGATTGCAAACAGAATCCCTACAATTCGAAATCGCATTACAAAGAGCAAGCTTAAGGGAGAAAGGGGTGGGAAGGGGTCTTCCTCCACTTAGGAGTGGGGGTGGGGGAAGAGAGTGGGGAGAAGATTCTTAAACAGTAGGAAAGGCAGTTAAACCCCCTTCCCAACGGTCCCAGCCCGTCCAACCGCCGCTTAGGCCAACTCGGACTCAGACCCTCCCGAAAGGTGGGCAAAAACCAGGGGTGTACGAGCGCACCCAGTTCCGGCCACGGGGGAAGGAGTTGGCCGGGCTCTCCTCAGCGAACGTTGGAGCCGTTGGGGATGGTTTCAGCAACACCCACCCCTCACTCACTGCCCCCAGGCCCGAGGCGCTGTAGACAGGGCTGCAAGGGCTGCGGTGGGTGACTGCCTTTCAGCGCCCAGAGGCCGAGGGCCGGGGGAAACGAGCACGAAATCTTCGGAGGTCTCTTCGTCTGACATTCCCCTACAAACACCGCCTCGCCCCGACCCCATCCCCAACAGCACAGCCCAGGCCTCCCCGGGGAGCCGAGCGGCTGAGCCAGAAGAAGCCGGGTGTGTGAGCCTTCGGGAGCGCGGGCGGGCATGGGGCCCACCACCGCCTGTCCTGCCCCCGCCGCCCCAAAAGTGTCCCCCCAGACACTAACGCCCCCCACAACACATCCGCTCCGGGGCCGGACCTGCGGCTCCTCCCCGCCCCCAGCCAGCGCTGGCCGCCCCCTTCTTGACCCCGGCCCGGGGGACACCTGGAGGCCCGGGGACCAGGCGGTGGAGGGGTGCCCTGGTCTGGAGGGTGGGGCGCCCAGGTGAGGGCCGCTCCGGGCCGACGCCGCCACCACACAAAGGACCAGGGGCTCCCGCCGCCATATTGAAAACTTTCCTCCTCGCACGACAACTCGCAAGTCCCCCACCCCCACCCCACCCCATCACACACCCCCGCACCCCGGGAGCGGAGGCGAGGACCAGCCTGCTGAGCCTCGCCGGGCCCACAGTCCTCCCTCCAGCCCGCGCCTCCGCCGGGCTACGTGAGGAAACTCCCCCGCGACCACCCCCGGCTCCTGCCATCACTCCATCCGGAACCGAACCCGAACCTCTGGACCCGGCCGCCCGAACCCCGCGGCGACCCGACCCTCCCGTGGCACCGCCGAAGTCCCCGGTTCTCCCACGCTACTCATCTCCCACCCTAGAGAAACCCCCATCTTCCTCCCCCAGCCTCAACTCCAACCTTCTAGGCAGCCTCAAACTTGACGAGGCCGGTGGGGCGACCGGCTCCCCGCCCCCCGCGCCTCGGGCCTCCCCGGACCCGCGCGTCCCCGCTCCCTCCCCCAGCCACGAGCTGGATCCGGGGTGCTGGCGTGACTCACCGGCGGCGGCCGCACCTTACAGATCCCAGTCTGCTCGGCTATAGGCCGGATCTTGTGGATGAAAGCGAAGGGGTCCGCGAACTCTTCCCAGCTGGGCTCGAAGACTGGGCACTCCGGGGGAGGCAGGAACTCGCCCAGCGGGCCCGGGCCCCCGAGGGGCAGCGCCGGGCGCGGGCCCGGGTGCAGCGCGGTGGCCGGCTCCATCACTGCAGGCTGGGCAAAGGCGAGGCGAGGGTGGGCTCCGGGACCGAGGCTGCGAGCTCCACTCGGTCCGAGACCCGTGCAGACGAAGCTCTGGCGACAGCAAGTCCGAGTTGTACGGGCAACGGCAGCACCTTGGGCTTTTTCAGCCTCCGACGACGACGTCTCGCCGCAAGCCCACGCCGTGCGCCTCCGCCGCCACGGCGAGGAAAAAGAGTCCCACCCCACCCCCACCCACCCACCCTCCGCGCATAGCTCCCCGCCCCGCCCCCGAATTAGGAGGGGCCGCGCCTTCCGCTGTGGATGGAGTTTATCCTTAGGGTTTCAGTTGAGCCAACTTTTATTGACCATTTACTATGTATCAGAGTTCCTGCCCTGAAGAAGTTAAGTCTGGTAGAAAGGATCAGTCCCATAAGCCAATCATTCAATCATGTCAGTACACAGTGGTAGGTGCAGTAAAACCCAGGAGGGGGTTTTGGAAAGAGTATTGGAAATGGAGAAGGATTTTCCAGTAGAGATAACAGCTTGAACATACAAACAGCATGTTCGTGAGAAGGCAATAGTAGTAATAATAATAATAACGTAACACTTTTGGTCACTTTCATATCCTAGGCACTGTTCTAATTGCATTGCATGATTAATCACACAACCCTATGAGATAGGTACTCTTATTTCCACTTTACAATAAGGAAAGTGAGGCATAGGTAGATTAAGCAATTTGCCAAAATTCACATGGCTAATAAGTGATGGAGATTATTGGGAGGTGGAGATGTTGCAGGGAAAATAAATATCAACAATCTATGACAAGGTCAGACTTGAGAGGGGCAAAAGGCTCTTGAAATAATCCAGACAAGAAATGATAGGGCTTAATTTAAGGCTTAATCATTACTGATGATTATGAGGAAGGGATGCAAAGGTAGGAAATAAAATTAGGACACAGTGACAGATTGGGGGGGACGATGAGGTATTAAGATTCAGATGTCTGGCGTATCTGCCTGAGTAGATGCTAGCCGGTTGGCATTGGTGGGACGTTCACCCCAATTATATACACAAGGCGAGTTATTCAAGGGAAGAAGATGCTGTGCTCATTTCTGGACATTTTGAATTTGAGGTGTCTCTGGTACAAACAGGTAGAGATACCCAACGGGGTATCCTTCAACGGACTGGAGGGCATAAATCAGAAGGGGCGAGATCAGAATTGGAGATATAAATCTGGGAGTTATGTGCATATGGGTGATAGCCGCTATTTAATGCTACTGTGGGTAAGGCACTGTTCTAAACGCTCTGCATGTGTTAGCTCACTGAGTCTTCGCAACCACCATATTGAGTAGGTACGATATTATCTTCATTTTGCAGAGCAGGCAACGGAGGCAAAGCGAGGTTAACGAACTTTAAGAGAGATGAACACTTTTGAGGCGCCTTTTTTTTTTCCTTTTGGCGGGGGACGGGGGACGGGGGTGGGTGGGTGGTGTCCAGCAGCCTCAGAAAAAGGGAGAAAGTTCAAAAAGTAGAACGTCAACATTGAAATGACCTCTTTCATCCAAAAAGGTGCCAAACGTATGCAAGGACTGCTTGTCAAGATCTTAGTTCTGCTTTCAGATTCACCTAGTGGAAGGAAATCTCTTATGCTTAAAAAGTCTTCAATTAAAAGGGGGGATGGGCGTGGGGGGAGAGGACAACCGCTTTCCCTTCTACAAATTATTCCCAGAGGTACCTGACCCCGGAAAGAGTTCACAGTGGTCCTGGGAGAACGTAGTCCTTTTCTTAGATCTCTAGGGCTTTGGGACCTGGAGCCTCTTCCTGCTCCCTACTGCAATGGAGAATCAAGCCCAGGGGACAGCTAGCACACTATTAGAAGAATTATCAGTGCAAGATAGATATGCGATGTGGCAAGTTATGATAGAATCTAGGTAGTGGGTATAGAGGAATTTGATGCAAATTTCTTTTAACTTTACTGAATATTTGATAATACTAAAGAAGTTGGGTAGAAGAATTCTTATCGTCGATGGCTCTTTGGTGCGCATTCTGTGCCTCTGTGGGTCTTGATGAAGATTATGTCTTGTTACGCGCCCTCTCGGGAGAGCGTTGACTATTTTCACTCTTAACGTTTGCATCCTACAAGCCAGGTAGGCATAACTTTGAGACAAATTCTAGACTTACATGAGTTATGACTATTAACTGAGATCGACAGGAAGAACAAGCCTAAGAAAATCTTTCCCAATTCTCAGCTGCGTCCTACTATTCCCTCTCGCTCCCAACTCTCAAGGTCTCCCAGTCCCGCTTCCTCCATTTCCGGTAGTGACCCTAAGTGATGAGATTCTATTGCTCCCAGATCGGGCCGCAGCTGTTTGGCTCCCAACGGACCCGGTGTGACGTTAAGGGAGGGGGCGGTTGCCGGCGTCTTGAGGGGAACCTAGGGACCGAGAGGACTCTCCAGGAAGGCAGCCGCTCCCCCGCCCGCAGCAGACGCTCCCCTTGCCCTTTATGATGTTTACATGGGCGGAGGGATCCCTCCCAGCTGACAGCCACACCGCGCCGGCCCTTCTTTTTTTAAAGAGCCTAGCCACGGGCGCTGATTGGCCGGCGGCCGGGCGCGTCAGCCTCCGGGGGCGGGGCCCGGGCCGCATTGTCTCGTCTGGGGCCGGCTGGACACCCCAGAGGCCGGACCTGGGCAACCCCAGCCTGGAGGTGCCGGGGCCGGAGCTCCCAGAGGGCTGGGTGCGATGTCTGGGCGGGGTCAGGTTCGGGTTCCCAGGCCATAGCGGAGCTGCAGCCCAGGCGACCTGAGCGGAACCCAGCCCCGCTCCGAGTGCCACGTCTCCAGGAACCCCCTCCTTACTCTTGGACAACACTCCGCCCCCGCCAGGGCCTCCGTCCCCCAAACCGCCCTCATTTGTGCAGCGCCAGATCCTTTGGACACATCCATAGGTGTCTCCATCCTCATTCGGTCCATCCAGCTCCCAGACCTCACGTCTCCAACCGGCTGCACCCCACTCTCCAGCCTGCGCCCCAGATCTGCAGCCTTCACCCCTAGATCCACCCGTCTGGTGATGAGGCGCTCCCCGCGTTCCTTCCGGTAGCTGCGTTGTGAAGACCACGCTGCCGGGTTGCAAACTTGGGGGGACTTCCACCCTCCCCTCCCCTTGGGCGCCGTGCAACTACCCTGGGACCGGGTTCGGGGATGAGGGGGGCAGGCCGAGCTCCCCAGCGGCCGGCGCAGCACGTAGCGCACGTGTAGGGCCCGCTCCCCACCCCCTCGGTGCCTCTGACAACTTTCCAGAGCTCCCGGTGTCGTCCGTGAGCCTCCCTTCCGCACTGGCCTCCGGTCTCTGCTTCGCGCGTGCTTCTTTTTTTTTTTTTTTTTTTTTTTTTTGAGACGGAGTCTCGCTCTGCCACCCAGGCTGGAGTGCAGTGGCCGGATCTCAGCTCACTGCAAGCTCCGCCTCCCGGGTTCACGCCATTCTCCTGCCTCAGCCTCCCGAGTAGCTGGGACTACAGGCGCCCGCCACCTAGTTTTTTGTATTTTTTAGTAGAGACGGGGTTTCACCGTGCCAGCGAGGATGGTCTCGATCTCCTGACCTCGTGATCCGCCTGTCTCGGCCTCCCAAAGTGCTGGGATTACAGGCTTGAGCCACCGCGCCCGGCCCTCGCGCGTGCTTCTACCACCACTCTTCTAGCACCACCCTTCCCCTCCCAGCCTGGTGGATCCTCTTGTCTCCCCCAATCTCCAGTGCACCGGCTTTCCCTCGTCCTCTGCGCAGTCCATCTCAGCTTATTTCTCCAATGCCATTCTCTCCTCACCACCTCTAGGTGCCCTGGAATGTTTGCTGTCAGATGTCCCCTGTGAAACCCACAAACCCTTGCGATTTGGCCTTCTTGTTTTATTTTGTGTATTCCCACAACGTCTTATTACTACCCCCATTACAACACTTATAACTCAGTATTTGTCTTTTTTCCGCAGTGTCCCTGCACTCTCCCCATACATGTTCCTCTCCTGCCAGATTGTAAGCCTCTAGAGGGAAGGAGTAATGTCTCTCTCCTTGGCACCAGGCACGTGGCAGACGCTCCACAAATATTTGTTGAAAGGGAGGGTAAATGGCCTTGAGTTTCTGTGGCTCCGATTGGCTGTGGATGGAGCTTTGGGCTGGACAAAGAGAAAAATCTGGTTGACCTCATGAAGCAGGAAGGAGGCTCAGAACGGTGTTGATGGAGCCTCCACGATGGGTGGGCACCATGGGTGAGATAAACCCATCCTCCCCCATTCTCTGCCCTACTTGACTCCCAGGAACCAGCAACCCCTCCTATGCTATCGTCTTCTGCTGAGCTGGTCCCTTATGGGGGACTTCGGTGCTCCCTGTTCTGCCCTAGCCCCAGCTGTCGGTGATGCCCTTGGGGAATGGCTCACACCTTGACCAGGCGCTCATTCCTGGGTTTCTGTCCTTGGGAAGCTGGGTCTGGGTCCTAAGAGCCACCTTGGTAACTAATAAATGCCTCTTCCTCCTCCCATCTGCTCTTCCTCTCCTGTCCTGGAATCCCTTTCTGATGACTCAGCCCAACTGAGATCCAGGGTAACTGCGCTCTCAGTCTTGGGCTTTGGTTTACCTGGGTGTGGGGCTCAAAGGGCTAGACCCTTGTCCGGGTCAGTCGCTGACAAGTGGAACATTCCCACGGTGCTGCCAGCCCTGCCCACAGGGATTGGGAAGGGCAGAGTTAGCCACACCAGGGCTTCAGGGCTTGTTTCTTCCCATTCCGGTTGGGCAACTTTAGAAGCCCTGGACTCCCAAGGAGCAATCCTGTGAGCTGCTTAGAGAAGCTATAAGGATTAGAGGGAAACTCATGTTCCCTGTTCATCCCTCAGTGGCACCACCAGCACCCCTAATTCGGGTCTCTGGGCTGAGGGGCCCCTGGCAGCATGCTCAATGGCCATGGATAGCTGGAATGTTTGGAATTGCCTACATCTTGGATGAAAGTCTTACAATAGAATGAAAACTGCTGCAACACTGTGTCAGCACTTTACAGACCACCACTGTAAATTCCCAATTGTAACTGGGAATTTGGAATTCCATGTTCAACCAAATCATGCTGAGTGCCCAGCACAGCATCTGACACACTAAATGTTACAGATGAATTCCCTTTTTCCTCTTTCCTGGCAGGAAGCAGGGACATGAGAACCACTAGAAACACCGTAGTAACATGAATAAGACGACCATTAGCCAGGTGGAAATCATAGTCTACTGAGC